CAGTGGACGTTGGAAGTTCACTTGAACTGAATATCCTTTCCACAGCTATTTGTGCACCGTGTAATCACATTTCTTCTTGATCATCTCTCGTTCAGAACAGGGAGACCCTGGTGCTCAGTGGAAGTTCCCTTTCCCAGAACCCGGAAGGTTTTGTGCACCTGCCCCTCACGTGGCACTAATGCATCTCTGGAATCCCTCTGATTTCACACATGTCCAAGAAGATACCATCTGCTGTCTTCAGAGTGCTGTGCAAACGGCTGTCAATTAGTCAGCTCTTTTCTGAGGAACGGATGAGAACCGAACAACCCAGTCCTAAATTTATCCTAATCCACTGAGCTAATAAAGCAGCCAAGGTCAACAATGAGGGTGGAAAAGGAAACAGGTCAGAAAGGATTTTGAATGTAGTCACATGTATCATGCCACTAAATGACTTTGTTTTACAGTACATATATCACGGATGTCTTTGTAAATGTTTCATACTTCAGCATATCTCCAGAACAAACAAAGCAATTTTATTCTCCCGTAACTGGTTCTGGGCTCTTTCCATACATTCCGATCTAGCAGTGTCACAGCTTCAGAGCAACAAGGACCTGTTAGATCATCTAGTCCAGCTCCCTGCCAATGAAGGATTATTGCCTATCATTCACTGATTAGTACTTCTATTCAAGGAAGAGTGCAACTTCCAGGAGGAGGAGGTCATCCGCCTATTAGGACACAGGACCTGACAGAGGTCTCTACAAAGAGGATTGGAGTCCAAACATAAAAACACTGATGTAGCCATAAGGTTGAGGGTTCCGCTCACTATGATGCTTTTGTAGGTCCATTTGTAGAACTTTTATTTTGTGTGAAAGTTGGAATGGAATTTTATAGGAGGGAGTTTTGTGGTTCTGATAAAGCCAGAGGCAGGTCCAAACCAAAACCACAGCTCCAAAGCACCCTGAGCACTGGGAGCGTTCACATCTGGATAAAGCCGCTGCAGTTCAGGCCCATCTCTCCGCAGTGTGTGGAGCAGGGGTTGTTCTTGTAACTTGAGGGTTTGAAAAGGACAGACCAGTAAGAGGCAACGTGAAAAGGATGAAAAATGCATTAACACCACATACGGGAAAGAATGGGCCACTGGATTCTTAATTTGGTCGAAGGAGAGCAGTTGTAACATTACATTTCTCAGACAATAGAAAATACAGGACAGACATCTGTATTCAAGAGACACTATTTAAGGACTTCTTATACTTTTGAAAAACTGCTTGTTTGTTTCTTATTTGGAATCTTGGACGTTCTAAACGATGAGATCCGTCCCTGCTAATTCTGTCACTTTTCATTTGGCAAACTTTGTCCCTTTCCTGCATGCTGATAAAGGACTTTGAAATTAACACGCCATTTCAATTTCCTTGCTGCTTCGCTCAACGGCTACACCACTGATGTCAACGCGGGTATGAGAACAGTGTGTCAGTCACAGATGAGCACAAAATGCTGAAGAACCTACATCCCCAGGCAACTGCTAAGAAGAAGAGGAAACAAAACCAAGAATACTCACATATTTACACTGGGAACAAGGGAGACAGTTAGAATATTGCCATTTTGGGCACGGTCAATGCTATTTTCAGTTGCTGTACAGCTCTTAGATACTTCTGTGATAGATGCCTTAGAAACAGCTCAGCTAGATCTTATAACAAAGAAAGCCCAAATACTGTAGGTTGACTGGGTCTCTCTGGAAAAATAAGTAAAAAACAAAACTCTGGGCCTACTCTGCTCCCACCGAAATAAATGGGAATTTTAGACTTCAGTGCGAAGCAGGAGCTCTGTGAACAGCAGAACCAGGATCAATGCCTGTTTCATGTCATTGATACAAACATACACAATGTGGTGTTTACATTCCATGCCTACGTTTCACACATGCGTATACTACACAAGCTGTGCATTATGATAGCTTATCTCTATGTTACAAGCATTTTCCAACTCATTAATCATGGGGTAGATCATAGCAAAATAACATGTTCCTAAAAGGGCTCGTCTTTTACTTCCTTCATCTTTATCTCTGTAGACACGGATAAAGAAACTCTTGGATCTAATCAAAATTATTTTTTTTTAATCTAAGTCCCGTTTTTGTTGTTGTTGGTACAATCGCCTGGAGAGAAATAATATGTTTCTTTTATGTTCTGGTTGATCGAGCACTTGAATCAAAGTCCCAGGAGTAAGATAACAGGCTGACTAGTTTAAATAAAAGAATACGGCTATGTCTACACAACAGCCTATGCCGACAAAACTTATGTCGCTCAGGAGTGTGACTTTTCCATTCCCTGAGTGACGTAAATTACACTGGCATAAGCCAGTCAGCTCTATGAGCTTCTCCCACCAACGTAGCTTCTGCCGCTTGCGGAGATGGGTTTTTTATGCCGACGGGAGAGCTCTCTCCCATCAACATAGAACATCTTCATCAGAGGCGCAACAATGTCACAGCTGTACCGATGCAGCTGCAGCGCTGTATGATAGACATGGCCTAACTCATGACAAGCCTGTGCACGTGGAAACATGGCACCGCCAACCCCATCCTAAAAATGACAGAGAGGGAGAGGAGGAGCAAGGCTGACGAAGAAGGAAGAAAATCCTTATTGGGCGTACAGAGTAAAAATCCCACCACGGGATTTCTTTCCTAAGGTCCCAGCCCTGTAAAACCTTACACACATGTTAAACTTTTCGATAGGCCCCTGGACTTCCGAGGGACTGCTCCCTTGCTTAAAGTTAAGAACATGCATAAGTGCTTTGCTGGATCTGGTACTAAACTGGTATAGGTTCCTTCTACCCCAAAGACTGCTCTAAGCCTTTGAACATTTGAAAACTAAATCTTTTTCTTAACTACAGGTTTTCCTTTAATGAGTACAGACATCGACTGGTCATTTTAGGGCTGTTCATTAATTCTCTGCACAGTGTTCCTTGGACCTGATTGTGTTTGGGACGACTGGGAAGTACTTCCAGTAGTGCAGCACTCCGTAATTTTTCTTTAAAAGGGAGGAGGGGGGATTTGTTTGAACTGTTTTTAAAATCACACCCAAAGAATTACAGGGGCTCTCCAAACCCTAAAGCCACTTTGCACCACTCTGGAAGATAAAGGGAGTCATAAAGTAGGGGTCTATGTAATACCTGAGTGGTTTAAAGGAGCCTTTATGTCAATGAAAATCAGGCCCAAAAAACAGGTCAAATTTGAGAGCTTCAAAAATTTGATAGTATCAGTTAAATCCTGTTACCACGATGATTTCTGAGCTTCATTACCTCCCATAATATATCATTGTAAAAACTGTTCACTGCCTGCTTTTACAGTTAGTGTAAAGAGAGCAAACTTCCAAACTCTTACTTCCCATAGTATTATTTTTCTCCTGCAATATTTATTATTATTATTATTACTTTTGCCATAGAGAATCTCATTGCAATTAGTCTGGTTTGCAATGGAGAACAGATGAAAGGAGAAATTCAATCAAATCCTTAGCACATATCGAAAGTGTTTTCACACCACACATCCCAAGAAGGTTTCCCAAAAATAATAAAGTAAAATCAAGAGCTCAAATACTTCACCCAGCCCAACAAATGCAGATTATGCCTGAATTTAAAGGGGAAGTGAAATGATTTTTCCTTCTACTCACCTGCCAAGTCCTGAGAGCTCAGGGCTCTCTGTGTTTCTTTCAGCACTTGAGATCAGAAACACCCAAGGCTGAGTGGAGAGATTTCGCCTTACACTGGTCTTATTCATTATTTGTGAAGTGCTGACAAATGTATTCAATGCTCTACACTGCACATAAACAGTCCTTGCCCCAAGGAGTTTACAGTCTACAGCCCTGATCCTGCAAGTTGTGCTATGTGGGAGGATCATCGCTGATTTCAACAAGCCCAGTCCAACTCTGAGTGGCAGTTACAATAGGCAATCTTTCCTTTGCTTTTAATAAGGGATGGATCAGGCCCAGTCATATTAGAGGTGTGATTAATGATTGTCGGAGAAAAGCAAAGTCTTGGCATGTATGGCAAGGCGCAGAGGAAGTGATTCTCTCAACTATTTTGTTTTTTAATACGTTTTTTAATGTTTCCATACAGTATGATTTGGGATCTCAAACAGCTCCCTTCCTTTTCACTTTACCTTTCAGCCTCGCAAGGCAGAGAGAAGTAGGCAACTTCTACTCCCGGGGGGATTGGCAGCTACTGTAAATGCGAAGGCTGGGGGAAGCTGGGGAAAGATTTTTTTTTCTGGAATTTTGTGCTACGTTTTTCACCTGCTCAGTCTTTCCATTTTCTGTGATCGTCCGAGGGCCCAAAACATTCCCACGCATCACTTGAGCAATTGACTTCTCATCCAAAATACTGCAATTTCCATTCCTTCCATGTTTGCACCAAGTTACCACGCCTGCCCCCTCTGCTGACTGCGGCTTGTGGAGGAGAGCTACAGCACAACACAAGACATCCAGAGACGCACAGGAGATCAGGGGAGGACAGAAGGAGCCAGAGATATAATCACTCTGGTACCATCCCCAGATGAACCATGGAGCTCTGTCCCGCATCCTGCACATGCCAACCAAAGCAGAGTGCTGGCTTTGAACCTTGGTAAGGGCTATGTGTTGTTATGACACCAGAATGTAGGGCCTCCAGAGCAAGTTTGGGTTAAGGATAGAATGGCTATTGTTATAGCTGGGGCAACAGATAAACCCGCGTGTTTCCCACCAGGATCCCATGGAGTGCCCAAAGCCTGCCTGATTTATACACTATGGCTCCAAGGGGAACAGAATAAAAACACTCACAGCCCATTGGCATGTCCAAGCAACAAACCAGTCTCACCATGCAGTAGACAGATTAAGTGGGAAAAGCACATTCTAAACCCGTCTCAGTACAGCCAAGGACTAGATCTAATGACTGGGAAGTCTCCAAAGGTTCAGGGTTCAGATGCTTATCAGAGCTGTGCAGGATCCCACCAGGCCATGCCGCCCTTTGCTCACCCCCCATGAATCTCCCCCCACCCCTACCTGGTGTTGTCTTCTTGCAGGGAAGTACCAGTGGCCTCTTATCCACTTCTGGCATCTTTGGAGGCTGGTTTTCTCTCTCCTCTGGTGTCCTCGTGGGGAGTTTCCAAGTAGAGCCAATGCTGGTGTTCAGGTGGAAAGGGTGCTAACCCCTCTCCCATTCCCCAGCATAGAGCCACTTCCTGAGGCTGCCGCTGATAGTTTATCCAGCTGGCTCAGGGACCACACCAAAAATGCAGCCACTCCCTCCAAGAGAAGAAGTCAAAATGGCTCTGTTAACCCTCCTGACCACATGAAGTAGCCTCAGCCAACCAGGAAAGAGGAATCAATACCATGTGATTGTGACCAGTCGCAGTCAACCAACCTCTTAGGAAATGTGAAAGCTGACCACCAAAATTTACTATAGCCAATTTTCACAGTGGCCCCAAACACAACATTTTACATGCATCCTTCCGCTGAGAAAAGGCTAAAAAAATGAATACAATTGTTTCTGTTTCACAAACATTTTTAGGGGTCGCAAAACAAGCAAACTTTGACAAAAACAGTTTTCACTGAAAATTACTCACCCTGCTCGCCTCAAAACACTGCTTGGGTATTTAGTAGGGCTGCAACTCTGGCCTACAAGACAGAACAACAATATTGACTCCCTTTGCAGGGCCACATCTATATTATTTCAGTAAAATGTAGGCCTGCTCTTAATCAAAGCTAACAAAAAAAACCCAACCTATTTGCAGTAACTGAAGGTCCATTTACAATTAAAGACCAGTTTAAAGGGTATTTTAAAATCCTTTTGTACCCCTCCACCAGCTACAATAACCCCTCAGAAGTTTGAAACTTAAATCTCTTTCTTCCCTAAGTTTTTAACCATTCGTCATGCATACACACCCACGCTGGTTTGATCAGTGCTGGGCTATTGGTTGTATATTTGTTGCCCGCACCCAGTAAAAAGAGGTGTTCTGAGGTATTTACTTTGGGAAAAAAATTTTTTACAAACACAAAATTTGTGGCTTGCCAACTACGCCAACATCCCTTTAATATGCAGCAAAGTAGTTTGGGGACCCTAGGTCTATCTAGAAGGACGTTACAACTTCTAATCTATAAGCACCTCCATCTGCTGTCATTGTCTCAGGACCGGGGGCTTGTCCACCTCAGGAATTTTTGAAATGGTATATCTCCACCAGACCAAAGGTCCAGTGTAGAGGTCGTGTGGAGACAACTGTGATGTTGCAGTCTATATAATTTTATAAAAATATGCTAATGAGTGAATATAATGTAACTGGAATATGCTTCATGCAAAAGGTCTCTTGTAAGGTATCATTACAAAGCTTATAATCTACTGAGTGTGATCATCCTATTTGTATAAATGTACCACTCTTGTATCTGAAACTAGAAATATGAAATATAACTCTGAGGGCCTATTGTAATTATGCAAAGTGTGGGCCATTAATAGTGTTTGGAATCTTGATGACTCCCATTAACCAGGACAATTGTCTGCAGATGGGTGTGTTTTACCTGTAAATCTTCCTGTATATATGTGTGCTGGCAAGTGGGCAATGAAGTCTTGCAGTGACATGTGATCATGTCACCTGAACTGGAATCCATCTTTAACCTGGTGTCTTTCCATTGAGAAGGAGGGGATGGAAACCCAGAGAGGGACAAAGGATTCCTGCCTTATGCAAAAGATATATAAAAGGGGTGGAACAGAACAAAGGGGGGAGAGGAGCCATCATGAAGAATCTCCTAGCTACCACCTGAGCTGGAACAAGAGCTGTACCAGGGGAAAGAATTGTGCTCAGGCCTGGAAGGTGTCCAGTCTGAGGAAAAAACTTACTGAAGCATCTCTGAGGGTGAGATTATCTGTATTCAGTTTGATTAGACATAGATTTGCGCATTTGCCTGTTACTACTTGGAACCACTTAAATCCTACTTTCTGTATTTAATAAAATCACTTTTTACTTATTAACTCAGAGTATGTATTAATACCTGGGGGAGCAAACAACTGTGCATATCTCTCTATCAGTGTTATAGAGGGCGAACAATTTATGAGTTTACCCTGTATAAGCTTTATACAGGGTAGAATGGATTTATTTGGGTTTATACCCCATTGGGAGTTGGGCATCGGAGTGTTAAAGACAGGAACACTTCTGTGAGCTGCTTTCAGGGAAACCTGAAGCTTTGGGGCAAGTAATTCAGACCCTGGGTCTTTGTTGGAGCAGATGGGTGTGTCTGGCTCAGCAAGACAGGGTGCTGGGGTCCTGAGCTGGCAGGGAAAGCAGGGGCAGAAGTAGTCTTGGCACATCGGGTGGCAGCACCCAAGAGGGTTTCTGTGACCCAACCCATCACAGCGTCACTGTGGGGCTTGTAGCAGGATGATTTACCCCACTTTCAAATTGGGGCGGGTCACCCTGGAAAAAGCCTGGCTTTGCATCAGTGCAGAGCATCTATGCTGAGGATTTGCATGAATGTAGTCAGACCAGTACAAACATCCCTAATGCAAACTAGCACGCAGCCAGGGCTCTGCACCCCAATTGTGTAAATGAGACAGAGGAATGCTTTTCCACAGTCAGATCTCACTAACCAGGATCACTTTGTTATGCTCTACTTCTAGCTATCTTAGGTCAGATTTGTGGTCAGGAAGGAATTTTCCCCAAGGCCAGAATGGCAGAGACCCTGAGGGGTTTTCACATTCCTCTGCAGCATGGGGCATGGATCTGAACTAAAGTAAATGGTGGAGTCTCTGTATGGTGAAGTCTTTCAGTCAAGATTTGAGGACTTCAGTAACTCAGTCAGAGGTAACAGGCTTATTGCAGGAGGGAGGTTCTGTGGCCTGCAGTGTGCAGGAAGTCCAGACTAGATGATCATGATGGTCCCTTCTGGCCTTAAAAGTCTATGGGTCTAATTCTACAGCCCCCGTATTATAGTTTCTGAGCATCTCACAATGGTTAATGTATTTACCCTCCCAAAACCCCTGTGCGGTAGTGCTGTTATCCCTATTTGACAGGCTGGGAACTGGAGCAGGGAGAGACAAAGTGTTTGCCCGAATTCACACAGGATATCTGTGTCAGAGCAGGAAATTGAACCAGGGTCTCCTGAGTCCTAGGCTCATGCTCTAACCACTGGGCCATACTTCCTCTCTACTTCAGCTCACGATTCTTAAAAAACAGAGCTGGCTGAAAGAGATCAAAAATCCCGACGACGTTTTTTGTTAACATTTCAACAACAAAAAGGAGTGGGGGAAATCCACAAAAATTGTTTCCCCAGTTTTTCATCCAGCTCTGTTTAACAGTATGTGTTGAAAGGAAAATCTATAAGCAAACAATCAAAATGCTTTACCTACTGTCCAGCTTCCTGGTCATGCTTACACCAGTGTAATTTCATTGACTTCAATAGATTTACTCCTGATTTTCCCCTATGTAAACGAGAACGGAGTCAGACCCAAATTCTCTAATGTGTTGGTCACACAGTTCATCAGGAAGGGCCTCTTTTCTCCCGGACACTTTTCACCCACTTATCTGCTGTACCCCTCTAAGATAGAAGCCTGGTATCAGACTGGTTATTAGCTAATTAGATAGACTCAAGCCATACATTTCCGATTCGATTTGAACACTGTAACATTCATTGATTTTGGTTCATTTGATTTTTGGGTTATAAATATAGAGACATTTTGCAAAATGCAGATCCAGATCTTGGACACTCCCAAGGGTTGTGGGTGCTCAGATCCAGGGTTTGATTCCAAGTCCATCCAAAATGTTAGCAATGTGGTAAAGGAGAAAACTGGAAGAACCATGAGCTTGCTACCTTTCTTCATAAACCCTGCAAATTCCACAAGGAAACTTGCAGAGTCTACATTTTCGCCATCAAGAAATAATCCCCTCCTTTTACATTTCTCTCCACTCCCTCCCACTCTCTCATGCGCCCAAAAAAAGCTGTTTCCAGGCACAACTGGTTTGAGAAACTGTGGATGATTCTGTTAAAATTGCTGACTTTGGGCTTGGGACCACAAGCCAGTTTGGGACAATCCCCTCTGGTCCTTTCTCCAGCTAATTTATAGCAACATTTGTTGAGACAAGGAGTTATGGTCTGTAAAAGGCCTGCTGTCAGCCTCTCATAAAACCCCAGCACCCTGTCAAAAAAGGGCCGGAGCCTGGGAAGAAAGTTTCAGCAATGATCAGCTGCTTTCCAGATGGGTGGCCTTCTACACAGCGTTCAGTCCCCGAGGTCCAATAAACCAGCCCTGATTTTGCACTTTAAAAAAACAAAGATACAAACCCTCCTCTACTTTCTGTTAGGGCTTTATAAACACACTCCCAGACTCTGTGTCAAATTTATTAAGGAGAAAATAATTCTGTTGTCTCCCTCTCGCTCTCTCTCTCTTTGCATTCATATGCCCAAGGCTTCTAGCTCCTAGAAGGGGAAGGGAGAACCATACCATGATTTATAGCCCTCTGGGTTGTTTTCCCATCAAAAACAAAAGGAGGGTGGCAAGCAAGTCACTGAGTTGAGGTATTGGCCCCCAGGCATAAAACCACCCAGAGGAGGCAATGTTTGTTCTCAGTCTGGTATAAATTCTGTGCCTGGTCCTACCTCTGCATCCCAACACACTGCAAGGCCATGGGATCAAATAAGAAAGAAGGTTACATTGACTGACTCAGGAACTAGAAAACACTACGTTTTGCACCCAATAGGGTGCAGTTGACTTTGAATCTCAGAAGGGGTGATACCTCCTTTGTAAAGCGTTTTGAGATCAACGGATGAAAAGCACTGCATAAGAGTTAAGTGGTATTATTAATGCATCTAGTCCAGCCCCCTGCCAGGCAGAATGCTTCTCTTCAGTACATTTATCAATGTTTCCTGCTGTGTAAGTTTAACTATGGCAAGCAATGGGTCTTCTCCCTCGGCCTCTGGATAATTATTCCACCAGCTAACAGAGCTATCTATGTAGGTACTTTTAAACTTTGCCCATCACTGCGGTAGGGGAGTGCAACCCAATGTTTTCCCTCATAGTCAGCCTACATTGTCCCATTTCATCCCATTATCCCTCTTTATTGTGCTGAATTCCTCTCTCCGCTCCCCCCCCCCTTCAAATTAAATCCTGGCCCCACTGAAGTCACTGGCAAAACTCCCATTGATTTCAGCTGGGTCAGGCTTTCATCCCTGGTGTTACCCCGTGGATAACTGGAGAGGACTGCTATGGCCCCTGCTATTTAGCCAAGCTGTACATATTTAGCTCTCAGTCTTTTCTTATCAGCCAATGCCTCCAACCTGTTTTGTTTCTCTTCTCTGAACTCCCTTCAGCCTGCAGTTAGGTTATTCTTTATCGAACACTATAAATGTGTCCAGAACTCAATATGCTATTCCAAGTGCCACCAAACCAGAGCTATGGCCTATCGCCTCCTTGTCCTGCTTTGCTTGATAAAAAGTGTCACATTGAGCACCCAGACATTCAATTGTGTCGGGTAGCAAGAAATTGCTTCTAGCTTGATCCTGCAAGGTGCTGGGCACTCTAGCCTCCATCCAGCAAATAAATTAAACATGTGCTTAACTTCACTCATTAGGCCTACTGGAGTCAATGGGGACTACTTAGGCCTTTAATGTTAAACATGTGCTTAGGTGCATTGCTGGATCAGGCCTAGAGGGCTCAGCACTCCAGCTTTGCACAATCAGTCTCTTACTCTGAAATGTTTTTGGGGACAAGAGCTCTCTTTTTATTACATATGTACAGCTCCTAGCACAATGGGGCCTCGATCCCTGATTGAGGCATTTAGGCAATATTGTAATACACATTAATAATAAATACATAAAGCTGGCTAAAAACTGCTGAATGTTTTTCATTGAACTCTTGCAATTTTGAAATAATTTGACCAGCTGGTCAAAAAGCAGCAACATTTTCATCAGCTTTTCAAAAATTGGAAAGGTTTTGACCAGCTGCAATAATAAATGGATCTCAGCTACCAGAACAGCACAGAAGGGGAAAAGTGGCCTCTCAGACTAATATCTCCAAAGCCTTTTATTTGTGTAGAGTATCAGGGTGTCTTACAGAACACTAAAGAGAAGCAAGGGTAGAAAAAAAGAATTAAAGCAAGGCGAATGACCTCTCTCTCAAGCAGACATTATTATATCAGGATTATGGCACCACATGAGCTGTCAGTGGAATATAAATATCCTAGACACTGAATCTGCAAACTCTGATATGCGTGCTTAACATTACGCATGTGAGTAATCCCACTGAAGTCAATCAGATTACTCATGTGCTGAAAGTTACACCTGTGCTTGAGTGATCAGGGTCAGAGAGCTCAGCACCTTGCAGGACTGAGCCTTTCCCCTTCCTCCCCTTTCACTCAGCTTGGACAAGGGAAACAAATGAGTGTTGTATATTCTGGTTCTCATGCACTAGCACAATGCTGCAAACCCTGTCTGAGAACGTTTCCATCCGTATAAACAGTTTTCATTTCAACCGAAGCCATGAAAACATTTATATGCTAATATTTTGTAAAACCATCTATTTTAAAACTCGGTTTTTGACCTAAACTACCTAACAATATCCCTTTAATATCCTGAATCTGTGTGTGCATACAAATAGAAAATAGGAGTAGAGGATTTTTTCTGTATGATTCATTACATGCCAAAGCAGTTTACAAAATATGGGCCCGATCCTGCAAACAAGACTGGGAGTAGCACTTTCCACTATGCGCAGACCCATTGATTTCAGTGCACTACGTCCAGTACTAATTGTTTGCAGGATTGGTCCCCAGAGAAACCAGTCCTGCAATTCTTATTCAGGCAAAACTCCCTTAGAGTCAATAATACGTTTCATAGATTCATAGTGTTTAAGGCCAGAAGGGACCATTAGATCATCTAGTCTGACCTCCTGTATAACACAGACCATTACATTTCACCATTATTCCTGTATTGAGCCCAATAACTTGTGTTTGGCTGAAGCTTATTTTCCAGAAAGGCATCCAATCTTGATCTGAAGACAATCCACCTCTTCCTTAGATCGTTTTTTCCAACGATTAATCACCCTCCCTGTTAAAAAATGTCTGCCCTATTTCCAGTTTGAATTTGCGTGTGTTCAGCTTCCAGCCACCAGTTCTTGTCAACCCTTTCTTCACTAGATTAAAGAGCCCTTTAGTATTTGATATTTTCTCCCCAGGAAGGTCCTTAGACAGTGTACTCAAGTCACCTCTGAGGTTTCCTTTTGACAAGCTAACCGGATTGAGCTCTTTAAGTCTCTCACTGGTAAACAGACATTTCCTCCAGCCCCTGAATCGTTTTCATCGCTCTTTTCTGCACCCTCTCCGATTTTTCACCATCCTTTATAAAACATGGACACCAGAACTATATGCAGTACCATAAGCGCTGACTCCGTGGGTGCTCCGGGGCTGGAGCACCCACGGGGAAAATTTAGCGGGTGCTCTGCATCCACCGGCAGCCAAGCTCACCGCCTCGCCCCCCCCACCTCACCTCCTCCTCCCCTGAGCGTGCCACGTCTCCGCTCCTCCTTCCCTCCCTCCCTCCCAGCGCTTTGCGCCGCCAAACAGCTGTAGCAAGCTCTCAGAGGGAGGGGGTAGGAGCAGGAACGTGGCGCGCTCAGGGGTGGAGGTGGGACTGGGGCGGGGATTTGGGGAAGGAGTCGAATGGGGCAGAGAGGGGGCGGAGACTTTGGGGAAGGGGTTGGAATGGGGGCGGGAGGGGGCAGGGCAGGGGGGGTTCGAGCACCCACCGGTGCCAGAAGAAGTCGGCGCCTATGTGCAGTATCCTATCAGTGTCACCAATGCCACATACAGAGGTAAAATCACCGCCCTACTGCTACTCGTTACTCCCCTATTAATACATCCAAGGATCACATTAGCTCTTTTTGCCACAGCATCGCTCTGGGAGCGAATTTCAATTCCTTGTTCACTATGACCCCTAACTCCTTTTCCAAGTCACTGCTTTCCAGGATACAGTCCCCTAGTCTGTAGCCACAGCCTGCGGTTCCATGTTCCTGGAGGTATACATTTTGCATTTGGCTTAATTAAAACACCTTTTGTTTGAATGAGCTCAGATTATCAAATTGTCCAGATTGCTCTGTCTGACTGCCTTGTAAGGACAGAATAAGGTCCTCAGGAATGGCTCTAAACAGATAGTCAAGTGCTGAATGCCTTCACCCCCTGGGAGAAGGGTGACAAACAACCAGCAAAATAAATGCAAACTCACAAGACTCTGTAAATCTAAAACCAAAAACATCCCCAAGTTTTCCCCATCTCTACTAATACCCTATTCATTCCTAGCCTAGCATTTAGTCCTCCTATGAGCACGTACACTTCTGCAGGAGAGAGACGAAACATCCCATGTAGTTTCTCTTTAATACCTAATTAAAAAATCCAGACACCTCAGAGTTACTCAGGGTGAAATTCTGGCCCCACT